CCACAAGCAAAGACTTGGTATATCATTTGACCATTTATTTAGGAGTACAGCGTATAGTAGACATGATTTGTTTCGCATCATTGGATCAATAGACAGCGTTTGGATCCACACGAGTGAACATTGCCGGCTAAAGACGAAATCGCTCGTGTGACCGAACACTCATAAATCAGTGGATCCATCGAATTGGTCGCCCGAACCTTCGCATTCATATTATAAACACAGCGCACCTATGCTGGATCGACCACGTGAACTTCATTTCACAACTCTTGGGATCCATAAGTTATTAATTACTTTGATAATAATTTGATAAATATGATGAATTGATTATTCAAGGGTTGGAAATAATAAAAACATAAATGCAAAAACAAGAAAACATTCAACAAACATAATTACACGTTTTTGGTTGCTTTGTCTATGGGTCATCACGAGTAATCATCATGTGCAAATGTGAAATTAAAATCCGACAAAAAGAATCCCCAATGTTTTACTGCGTTTTTAATCCCAAGACAAGAATCCTACTGCATGCTTTAACTCCAAGTTCGTAATATACAACGATGTTTGGCAACAGTGGCGCCCAAATGGTACTAAACCGATATAAAGATTTATTTTTAAGATTTTTAACACAAAATATTTAATCCTACGTTAAGACTCGAGGTTCCATCCTAAAAGGTCAACCTGATAGGAGGAGTAACCCAAAACTTTATATAATGTTTAATTATTTTATAGCTTTCCGGTGTGGGACAAATGCTTTTAACATCCTAAGCCCATGTTTCACTACAAAAAAGTCCGGATTTGACAGAGATTTTTTATGGAATTTAAATTTTGGGTGTTATGTGAACACTTTGGATCAAGTGTGGCTCCGCCGCTGTGACAGAAATATGTCAAATCTGTGCAAATAAACATTTTGGCACATGCTATTTAGATTGAAATCATCAGTCAATCCGTGTTAATCTGTGTCAATCTCGTAACTTTTTGTAGTGTTTGGAAACTAGTGAACAACCGTGCTTATAGGTAATTGTTTAATTGTAAATAGATAGTATATGATTAATTGGATAAAAATGTGATCTAGTAACTCTCATCATAGATTCATGGTGTTCAAACTTTGTATCATATTATATAAAAGTATACTCCTAGTTATGATTTTAATCACATTTTTATCAAATTTTTTTATTAATACGTAGTAATATTTTAAGAAAACCTGTATTATTCGATATTTATGGAAAATACTATTGGGTGTGTTTCAAATAACTAAGAAAATTAATTAATAAAATTAATTAAGTAAAATGGCAAAACTAAAACAGAAAATAGATGAAGCATAAAAGCCAACGCCCGGGCTATGCACGATTTCCTTAAAATGTATTCGTTGCCTCCCGGGGTGTTAGGAGTTTTGCAACGATCGTTTGCCAGGATACAATGATTTCGAACGATAGTTTAACACTCAAACTAAGGTTCCAACGAACGAGAACAAAGCTTAGAACACAGAAGGAATTTTTTTTTTCCGGAGAAGGCTGAAGTGTTTTTGAGCTAGAAAGAAGTGCAGTACGTTTTTGTGTTGTGTCCTTTTGCAAAGCAGCTACCAGCCTTTTATAGGGGCGGATTTGCATGTGTTAATGACTTGTTTAAGGCATATGAACGTTGAAATCAATGTTGTGAACGTTGGGCATTGATTCCAGCCAAAATAGTCCAAAACGCTCATATGAGAGAACGTTGGGACTTCAAGTCGTCCGCAGACGCAAGTCGTGTGTGCAGGTCGCCCGCACACGCAAGTCACGCTTTTTGTTCTTCGATTTCGGGATTTGATTCGCACCCCCCTGCGCGCGTGAGAGAGCAGGAAACTTAACTCCTTAGGGGGGGGTCCCTTTATAAAGGGCTCAAATTCCCTTGTGATTTTTGGTGTGGGAAAAAACTACACTAGAAACCCACTTTTTTCTAGTTTTCTCCATTTCAACGAGTGAACTTCGAGAATCAATTTCCCATTCACCCGTTATCCATTTTGAGCGTACTATATATCGAATTGTAGCCCTAAGTAAGGACAATCTGAAACCACTTTGACTCGGCCCAAATCGGAAGTGGATCTCACTCAAAAAATTGTCCCAAACTGACCATTTAATGCAATTTTAACACATTTTCCCAACAAATACTTCTCATTCTAAGGAATGTGAATGATTCTTTTAGGTACATGCTTGTCAATCAGTTCGGTTTGATAAAACTTTTTTAAAGGTTTAACTCGTTGTATTTACTACTCCGTAGTTCTTAATCGTAATGTTTTGATTTTTTTATAAAGGTTATGTTAGAATTGGAATAATTAAATACAAATTGTGCAAACTTTGTAGTAATTGAATATGGTATGGTAAATATATGTACTTTTTATAAATTGAAAATTTTCATTTACGTATGTACAGTGCCAACTTTATAGAATTTAGAAAAAAATACTCCGTATGTGACGAAAATGTGCAAGTCTGAGGCCCGGATTCAGACCCGAACTGTACAGAATTCGAAAAGGTCCGTGTTTGGGAACATAAAATATGTGAAATCCCCACTAAAGCTTTTTTTCTAATTTAACATTCGTGGGTTCGATTATAATAAAAACCAAAAAATAATTACTTCCAATGAATTTTATATAATTTGAAGTTTGACCTTATCTCCCTTCCTTTTCTTTTTTACCTGGTATCCGGCAATTAGAGACGCTAGGCTCTGTGAGAAGTCAAATATGATCTATAGCATTTAAGGTATAAAAAAATGATCTATAACATTTGTAATAAACTAAAAAGGTATTAATCAGTTTAGCATTTAAGGTTGTTTCTCTAACTCGAGAATAAGTCAATAAGATAAACGCGTTTTTATCTAAACATCTTTGTTTATTTTGTCAATGCAAAATTGGTTCTATAATAGGCCACGTCACTGATTTCATCTCTAATCCAATCAATTTTATCTTAAATTATTAAAATAGGCCACTTTGTGCTGTCTAATAAAATAAGAAATTGACCCCACATGTAGCTTAGTTGGTTCGGTGGTAAGTAATTCGGAACAATGATCAAGGTTTGAAACCCGCAGCGACCATGTAGAGGTTACAACTCCTATGTGTTGGGTTGGACCTCTGGTGTGCACGGGTATAAGGTATATCACTATTGGGCTGACTGAGTCATTCAGGGGAGGAGGGAAGTATTAGGTCGGGGGCCATGGCCCCTCCCACTTTTTTTATTTGTTAATATATTACCACTAGAAATTATTTGCCCCTCTCAAATAAAAATTATGAAGGCATTTTGGCAAGCCATATGTCTCTAATTTTTAGATTTTATACTTCATACTTGGGAGATTTGCAATTTTAGTCCTATATTTTTTGGTTGTCTTTATTATTAGTTCAGTAACTTTACTGACATGCGGATTAATTAGGTGCACTAACTAATAGGTCTTTGTAGTTTAAGGAATTTTCCACTTGAAAGTTCACTTTATGACAAAAAATTGACATATACTTTGCGGTGAATTATCTGTAAAAAAATTGTACTTTCCGGTGGGGAAGTACTTAATTGTAAACAATTCTTAATTAAATGACCAAATTTACAAGCGAATGAAGTATCAGAACTAAAAACGGGCACAGACTAATTTACGAGCGAATGAAGTATCAGAACTTAATTAATTTTCCTTTATATTTTAGAACTTGTATTATATTCCGACCTCCCTTTGTACTGAAGTCTGGCTTCGCCCCTGGAGTCACCGTGACTTACTCCTCCACCATTTTATTGGGTCGTGGTGTCGTGCTCCTTGGATACGAGATTCCACCTTTTTTGGAACAATAAAACAAGAAATTGAGAAATGAAATAGAGAATGATGGACAAAAAACTTAAAACCCACTCTCAAAGTACGGAGTACAGATTATCTCTTAATGCCCTGTTCCCTTAAATCTTCCATGCTCTTATATGTTGTAGTAATACTGGGTGGAGAAGGTAGGGATTATGATTTATCATACCATGATTTCATTTTTGATGATATCTGAAAGCTGGGTTTTTGTGTCAACTTTTGGAAGCGTTAGACAAACCGAATTGCTCATTTCTTGCTCAGGTAGTCGTTTCAGGGGCAGAAGCTAGATTTGCTAGATTTGATTATTATACAGCTCCTCATTGTTAGGAGTTTTGTGAACGTAACATTGAATCCAAGTTTCAATTGGAGCTACTTTGATGAACGTAAGATTCACTATAAAACCCGTTTAAGGACTGTTTGTCAACTTATATTATGCTTATCAGTCAATTGCAGAATCATCGGATTCAACCAATTACCAAACGACTCTAAACGACTATGTCATTAAGTCATGTTTACTAACGAATTAATTGAAAACACGACTTATTCATTCAATCAAAAAACTAACTTAATCATTAAGCTTTGAAAAGACACTCAATCCACACAGGACTTAATATGAAAAAAAGTAAACTATGCGTGAGTATAGTTGGATCAATTTAGACAAGGTTGGTATACAATTGTATACTTGTGCAACTATGCGTCCACAAGGCTTTACTCTTCTTCAGTGAGAAAATATATTGAGCACCCTAACGTGTTCATTGTATGTTGACGTGGTAAATGATCATGATTCATTCATCTATTTTTTGTGACAATCTTGATCATTTATTATGTGAATGTGCGTTGCAGTGAACACATTAACAAGCGCTATATATTTTGTGGTTCATCCATCCTTTTTCCATAATCCCTTTTTTCGTTTGTTAAAGGATGACACCCCGTGAGGGTCCCCCAACACCGACCGGACGACACGATGGGAGGATATAAATTGGACTATAATCACAATCTGACAGATAGAGAGTGGGGCTCTGTCCCCGGTATCTTTTGTTTGTTTGTTAATGTTGGTAATTGGCAAGAAGACACAAAGGAGACATGGTGGGGTACTTGGTGAGAGTAAAATCCATCTTTAAAGTCTCCTACACTACCTTATTTACTTCATAGACACCCTTTTCTGACATGTCCCTCTCATTGCCACTCTTTACCCGACCCAACTTTCCTCTCACTTTTCATTCCCTCTCTCACTATTTATATATACCCACCCCCAAAACAAACACACATATCCGACTCCCAGTTAACTCACTCATCACCCACCCATCACTCTTGCTTGCTTCCAAAATGGAACTCGAGCTCGGCCTTGCTCCGGCGGCGGTGACGGCGGCGACCCATTTTGACGACCGGATCAAAGGTTTCGATTTGAACGAGAATAATGCGTTCGAGGTAAAGGGTGATCGCCCGTTGACCAAGAAACGGCGGTTTGACGAGGCGTTTGAGGATTGCGGGCGCGGCGGAGTGAAAACGCTTATGTTGCTTCAATGGGGTGGGAAGCCAAATGATGATGATGATCCAAATGAGGCTCAGACCAAATGTCGTGTTTATCAAGGGTATATAACACTTTAATTAATTAATATCCTTCAATTTTTTCTTCACTTGAAAAAATCGACTAAATATGTGAATAATTAAAGAAAAAGAAAAAGAAAAATAAATACAAATGATTTTCCAAGAAACTCTGTAAACTTGACTGACATTTTGAATGCTTTACGGTTTATTAGATTTTGGCTATTTTATTTGTATAAATATGCACACGCTTTGTTTATAATATGTCATAGTTGTATTCACAAATCTATTATACTGCTCTTAATATACGGAGGATGTATGTGATATAAAATTGTTGGACTTTTCTTTCTGGCCCGCAAAAAAATGTTCTCATTTCACTTTTTAGGAAGTTTAATGGGTTAATATTCATTTATTTTTTTACTCGCCTACAACAATACATTTTCACTTTATTCTCGCTTTCATAAATTTTGATCCAAGTCAAATACGGGACAAAGGGGTATTAGTTTTATTATTATCAATAAATTTATTGGAGCAATATAATTTTACACTCTAGAAATCAACAAGACTTCTTCATGGGAGAAATGGGCTATATAAATAATTTTACAAGTACATGAAAGTCTCCAAATTGTGTAAAGTATTAAAAATGGGTTGTAATTTAGTTACTAACAAGGTACACATGTGAAAAAGTCACTAGTATAATAAACGCCTTATTATACACTATAGAAATCACGTGACATTGTGTTTTAATCAAGTCTTGTTTACATGGTAAACATTTATATACTCTTTAAATATATAATATTAATATTGGATGATGATGATGGCAGGAACCTAGACGAAGAGAGCATAATAGTGGGGTGGCCACCTATAAGAACATGGAGAAAGAAGGTGCTACACGAGCATCAAGGGGGTGGGTGGGTGTTTGTAGCTAATAATGGAGGAGGGGGAGAAATTGTGGTTGATAATGGTAGGGTTAATAATGGTGGTGAAAGGAACTCCACATTTGTGAAGGTGAAGATGGAGGGTGTAGCCATTGGGAGAAAAGTTAACCTAAGTCTTTATAACTCTTATCAAATTCTATCCAACGACCTCATCAATATGTTTGCAAGATGTAAGTCTTATCCATCTATCATCTCTTCCCATTCATATTAATCCAGTGATTTGTAAAAATCATTTTAACATCATATAAAAAGGTCATTTTATCATTGTTGGTATATACTCGTGTACACTTTTCGTGCACTTTATCTGCGAAATAGATAACTTCCAAAAAGAATCATTTTTTTGTAGACGAATAGCATGTATACATATGCAAAATAGAATATGTAGAAATTAGAAAAGGTGTATAAAAAAGTTGTACAAATAGAAATTTCCATATAAGAATAGAAAGTCCTGATGGAAAACCTTTTATGTAGAGATGAGTTGGTGTTCTAGCTTGTATAGCTATGTTTAGGCTTGTCCAAGGGCGCTTATTAGGAGGTGGTGGGCGATATGAAAAAGTGAAATATAACTGTTAGGTGTGAAAAGAATAATAACTTGGATCGTTTTCTGGAGGTATTACAAATCACAAGTGGTAGTTCTATCACTATCCAATCAAATAAATAACCAATATTTCATCCATTACATTTTTATGTCACCTTTTTATTTGTTTTGTAATTATGTTTAATTTCTTGTTTTGTACTCTTCTAATTCTTTTCCCTAGTTTACCATTTCAGAAACTTGAAGTTCCTGTTAACCATATTTAAAGGCAAAAATGAAGTCTTCGTTTGCAAGTTTTCATAGTATGTGATGATTGTGTGCTGAAAGTAACATTTGTGCTAGCTTAGTCATATATAATTTATTTTTTATGAAATACTCCGTATAACTTTAATAAGTAATCTATTTTTATAAATTGGTAAAAGCTCATGAAGTTTAATTTAGAAATTAATGAAACGAAGTATATTCATCTACGTAGATTTCAATTATTTCTAATCATTCTATGCATATACATTTGGTTCTATAACAGACCGGGATTGTGACGAAAATGGTAGAGGCTATACCCTATTGTATCAACACAAGGAAGGGGACTGGTTGGTGGCCGGAGATGTTCCATGGATGTAAGTATTTAATTTTCTAAAGTCATTAATTACAAGTTAAAATTTAGTTCAATTAAATATTACACACACAAAATTAAATTCAACCAGAAGTCCTGAACATATTGTAAAATTGCTTTTTGACTTTCAGGACATTTGTGGGGTCCGTACGCAGGATAGAGATACTCAAGAATAGAAATTGAGGGCGGAAGTAATGATTGATAGGCTGTATTTTGTCCTTAAGTATTGTTACTTTTTAAACCCCTACGGGCATGCATATTATTTAATGTTGTATTAAAGGCCTATTAAAACGCAAGTGTGTAACTTGATATGTGTAACTTGATAGCTAGCTATATGTCTCACAAATATTATATTCATTGAAGCCTATATTTGAAATTTGGCATTATTCCTGTACTTCACTTGAAAATATAATTTTAGGAAGCTATGTTAGGGTGCTTTTACTTCACTCTATATATATATATATATATATATATATATAGAGAGAGAGAGTAATCTTCCGGTCAGGTATACCTGACCGGAGCCGCCGTCCGGCCTCCTCCTTTTGGGGGCCTTCCCGGTGGTATTTTTTGCTCATATTTTTTGTGTATGTTCCTCATCAAGTCTATTTCATCCATACCAAATTTCAGCAAAAAATTCAATCGGGAAGGTTGTCAAATGATTTTTGCAAGTTAACTGGTCCGGAAAATACATATTCCGGACCAAGTATAGGGTAAGGTTCAAGTGAGAAGAACCCTTTAGGTGAGGAGTGAGAATGAATCCCAGCCGTTGGATTCGACTATTTTGCAGTAAAAACACTTTATATTGCCCTAAAATATGCAATCCACTTTGGTGGCATTTTTTGAAAAATCCGTATTACAGTTATCTAGTGCAACATGAAGCGATTTTGTTGCAACACTGCAAAAAATTAAATCTTACTGCAATATCAAGCCATTTTCAGTGCCAAATCGGAAATCCAATGGCTGAGATTCATTCTCATTTCTCACATTAGATGCATTTCTCACTTGAACCAATATATATATATATATATATATATATATATTAAAAATATTTGATTCTTTCATTCTTTGCTTCTTGGGAAAAAAATAAATAAAATACCCCAAACTTTAAAGGCGTGTGAGATAAACAACCCAAACTTTCATATGTAATTTAAATACTCCAAACTTTATATAAAAAGTTATTTTAGCACCATGATCATATATTATTCTTTTCAAAAATATAAATTTAAGGTGTTAATTTCATAATTCAAAATAGTAAATTAAAAATATTGAAATTATATAGAGTGGTAGTAGTATTTTTTATTTTACAATGGAAGTTTATAATGTTAATTGTATGTTCATGAATGCTAAAATATTTTAAATTATGAAATTAACACAAAAAATTAATATATTTGAAAGAAATAATACATGACTATGGTGCTAAAATAACGTTTTATAAAAATTTTTATGGTAATTAAATTACATATGCAAGTTTGGGGTGCTTATCTCACACCCCTCAAAGTTTGAGGTATTTTAATTATTTTTTTCTTGATTCTTTGATTTGTTTCTAAAATCAGCATTAAGTGCATACAAATTGAAATTTGTAAATGAGTTATTCTACAAGACTATATTCAGTCTTTTAAAATTTGAAGTAGATAAAAACTACTCATATATCCGTTCAACAATGTCACAAGAAAAGTTAAGTGAATTGACTTAACTCGTGTTATTTTTCATAGAAAAAATTGTGGTCTACTTTTGATTGTAATGATGTACTTTCAAATTTTTCAAAAGACAAGAAGAATAAGTTCTTAGGTAGTACTTTTAGAATTTTATTTATTTCTTAAAAAAAATTACATTTTCACATATTTTATATCAATTTTAAGTGAAATATTACCTTTTACTTCTAGTAAACAATTATGTTATAATTTTCTAATTACTTCATATGTAATTACATTATTAATTTGAAGTATTATTTGATCTCATTAGTCAGTCTTTGTCTGGGGCATCAAAAGTCCTAGAGACGGCTCTGAATTTACTGGACTGATCTGGTCTGATCTGAACTGGTCCGATCTAGTCTGAACTCTTTGTATTTTTATAACTATCTAAGTTTAGTCTGGTATGATCTGATCTGATACGGCTTGACCTAGTCAGGTCTGGGACATATTACAGTCCAAGTAAAAACATCCTTATATGGAGTATGAAATGCATGTTATAATGACGTGTATATTTGTAAATATTCCGGTGATCTGCTCTTCCCTGGGAGAAGATATATGTTTGGACCGGTGAGTTGACACACCGGGCAATTAAAACTTTTTTCAAATTTTTAGTATAAATTAAATTTTTTTCGTTTATTAAGACTTGGAATAACTTAATATGCTCGCACAAGATGATGACTCGTTGATGGAGCTCAATCTTAAAATTCGAATGCTCATTGTCTAGGCTTACTGGGATCTGGTATTATATTCACATTTGGCTTCCTTCGTAAGAAGTCAGCCCGATAAAAGAGTAGTTCAAAGTTTTATATGTTTATATTTTTCACACTCCCGATGTGGTATACTAATAATTTTCAATATTTGAATTACTCATTTATATTTAAATCTAGTATAATTACTCTCATGCACGTTTCTGCCAAATAAATATGGCAAAAGTAGAAAATAATATAATATATAATAAAAATTATAAGCACTAATAATTAAATCTATCACTCCTCTTTAGCTCCGTTAAAGTGTAACTCTTGAGTTTCCATTGTGTTATGTGTGGTCTTTGTATTTTAATTTTTATGCTTTGATTCCCATTTAATGTTTTCATTTAATTTTTCATCACGTTACCTTATGTGCTATGTAGAAGAGAAAAAAAATCAATTTTATGTAATTTTGTATCAACTCCGTTTGGAATAAAACGATAGATACTCAACATGAGTTCCATACGTATTCCAAAAGTTGATTACTTTAAAACCGCCCCTTAGTTATTATCAACATGAGTTCCATACTTTAACCTCTTGTGGTCACAAAGATTTGATTGTATTTATTTGTTGGAAATTGTTCTGTTCATCTCATTCTTATTACTTATTTTGGTAAGATCAAATCAGAAAAAGTCAATTCATATCAGATTAAAGCAATATAGATCAAATAAGAAAAGTTTAATTTATTACTTTTGTTACTACTTTTTATATTAAATTTATTATTATTACTATTGTTATTATTATTAATAATAATTTTTTATTATTGTTATTATTATTACGGAGTATTTATTACTTCAATTATTATGATGAATATCATTATTGTTATCAATAATATTATGGTTATTATAATAGTTGTTGTTATTGTTTTTATGTTGTTATAAATATAAAAGCGTAAGTTCTTTTTATTAATTTTTGAAAAATAATAACATTATTAAACTATATTACTAACACAAAAAATTCAATTTTATGTGCATCTTTATCTTTTTCCCTTCAGAATGAAACGACTAAAGCAAGATTACACAAATTATATTATTCTTTGTACTACTACTATTGTTACTGCTACTCCTACTCCGACTCCTACTGCGACTGCCACTCCCACTATCACTACCACTAAGCTACCACTACCACTACACCACTACCACTATCACTGTCACGCCCCGGACCGCATCTGAGCGCGTGTACAACCGCCGTATGACTAAATGACGTCACCCGCGAGTCAACGTGACTTAGTCAAACAAGGCGTCCATGAACATAGTCCATACCATACTCAGTAAGTAAACATACATGACAACATCACATATTAGGATTGAACGAATAGCGGAAATATTCAATATTCAATCATAGGCCACACATGGCCAAAACGTAGGCACGCAGGCCCAAAACAAATGTATTTATTACAAAGTATCCATGAGCATAGTTTGTAGTTTAAAACAGTAAAGGAAGCACGAACCACGTCTTCCTTTGGAACACTTCACCGAGCAAGGTGTGGATAGCTAGCCTTAGCTTCAACCTAAAATGGTGGCCCCCCCGAAGGGGTCAGTACAAGTACCGAGCGAGTAGCAAGCTAAATGTAGAATAACTAACGTTTCAAGTATAAGACCCAAACATAGGGTGATACATATATGCATAGTCCTTCCCCCAAGTTTTGAAATACATATTAGTATATATACACTTGGAAATACCCGACCCGTAGGTCATTGTTTAAATGGGAAAATAATAGAGCCAATATCCTTGACTTAAACCCCAACCCACCCATATACCTATGAGTGTATAGAACTCCTCTTTGTTCAAGTAAATTACCATAGGGACACCACCCGGTCCTAGATTATTAAATGTAATCTATGAGTTTTGAGGATACACGCCCGATCCTTGGGTACTCCACCCTATAACCGAGTTTTGAGGATAACTGCCCGATCCTTGGGTACTCCACCCTATATAACCGAGTTTTGAGGATGACCGCCCGATCCTTGGGTACTCCACCCTATATAACTGAGTTTTGAGGATAACCGCTTGATCCTTGGGTACTCCACCCTATATAACTGAGTTTTTAGGATAACCGCCCGATCCTTGGGTACTCAACCCTATAACTGAGTTTTGAGGATACACGCCCGATCCCTGGGTACTCCACCCGACCTATGACTTACCACATATCACGCTAGATAGGGTCTATATCATATTATTACTAAAGACTAAACCAAGTCTTAGAATTAAATCAATAAATATCAACCTTGACATTTAAATTTCATATTCCATGCAATTCCATGCACAATATACACACATAGGTTGTACGGGATCAACCCCCCTTCGGACCGGGCTCCGATTCGCGTTTTTGGCGAAAACGTAATATGGAGGCAGCAGCTTACCCGGCCCCGGGTATGCCCTATACCCGGCGCCGGGTATGTTCGGAGTTTTGGGTCAACGGCCCGTTGACCCCCGAGTTGACCCCCGAATCGTGATCCGTTTGATCCGAAATTTTTATACAACCTATATCATGTCTAAAACAATCAATAAATGCCATTTTGGCCATCCAAAACATCACATATGTTTTTATATATATTTTCTACTTCCCACATGCATAATCATGTAATTTCATTCACATAAGCCTAATCACCTTGGCTAATCACATGCTTAAACTCTTTTAAACATCATTATGAATACTTATAACATTCATTTAGGTAATCTCATACTTAACCCAAGATTTATAAGACATTAAGCCGTCCACTCACCTCGAATGAGCGTTATGAAGTTCTACCCTTCTCGGTTGAACCCCGGTGGAACTCCGGCGAATTTGGTTGAACTCCGGCGACTATTCCGGCGACTTCTTCAACTTTGTGAAAGCTATTGAATCACCTTATACGAGTTCCTAACAAGGTTTTAACATCATAAAACCTTAATCAATACAAATAACCCTTAAAGGTTATTTTCCGGTGAACCGGTCTCTTTGGCTTCTAAGTCCGTTCTT